TGTGTTAAAAAAATACTCCGTATAAAATAGGTAAAAGTTACTGAAAATGAGGTTGCGTGTGATAATAAATATGAGCCACTGTTGGCTTTTAAAAAATTACTGTGGAAATGTTTCAAAAGTAAAGGTTGCGTGTAATAACAGATGTGAGCCACTGTTTGGATTTAAAATCCCATCAACCAGATTTCCCCACATGTGTTCGGAGTTTTCTATTGGTTGGTTTTTCGGTGGGATCAGTTTTTCAGATAAATGTTCTCTATTTTAAAAACAACCTTTAAAACAGTGTTCCCTCCATTTCTAAAGCTTTTTCTATTGGTGGAAATGGAGGTGCAAACAGTGTTTAGATGTAACGCCTGTTCTGTTTTCAGCTACAAATTCAAGAGTTACTGGTGCATTCTTCACAATCCTTGGCATCATCTAGATAACACAATACATAAGCAAATGTTCTTAAAAAATCTTTGGAGATAGTAGTCAATGATAAGAAGGTATTCAATTTTTATAATTATTTATTTATTTTTTTTATCTTTAACCGCAAATAATAACTTATAGTTTTTGGATTCCAGTTTTCAAAGATCCATGCCTATCTTCCATGCATATTTAAGGAAGGTCGTGTTTTCACTGCCAAAAACTTCATGCTTGAGAAAGAATCGCAGGATTCCCTACATATTTCAACACATGGATCTACATTAGAACTAAATAAGATTTCCATTAATAATTTAAGCATAATCATAATTTATTTTTGATAGGATCTCTATATCAAATGCAGAGTAATTTTGTGCTTTTTATAATAAAATGTGAATCTGCGTATGCGGCAAATTAACGAATAATGAGGAATTCATGTGAATCATTAATGTCTAATCTGTAAAAAAATATTTGGTAAAATCATAAGTGTGCACGTAAAAAACCAATTTTTAATCAGACAATACCATATATCACCCCCCTGATTGGCTGGCCTATCAAGGGCAATTAGTTTCACCCGGACAGTTCGTATAATGATTTTTATTAATCCCATATATCACCCCCCCCCCCGATTGGCTGGCCTATCAAGGGCAATTAGTTTCACCCGGGCAGTTCGTATAATGATTTTTATTAATACCATATATCACCTTCCCCCCTGATTGGCTGGCCTATCAAGGGAAATTAGTCTCACCTGGGCAGTTCCCATAATGATTTTTATTAATGCCGTATATCACCCCCCCCCCCCCGATTGGCTGGCCTATCAAGAGCAATTAGCTTCACCTAGGCAGTTTCTATAATGATTTTTTTAAGAATACAAACATTTGTGGCCTGTCTAGACATATAATATTCACTTTGGCAGATATAAACTGAGTGGGTAAACTTTTATTTCTTTAAGTGTATTTGACAATTGAATGCATCAAATGATATTTATGATGTAGTTCTGACGTTTAGTTTGCATGTATAGCTTCAGTGCTTAATCTGTCAGGTCCTTGCCATTTGACACTGAACTTATTTCCTCCCATGCCATTTTAGAAAAACAAGAATGGGTTAGAAAAGCTAATATAGAGTTGGGCTATTCTATAGAAACATATGAAAATATTTGTGTGCGTGTAAGCAGAAAGTTGGGGATGGTCCTTGCCATTTGACACTGAACTTATTTCATCCCATGCCATTTTAGAAAAACAAGAATGGGTTAGAACAGCGAATATAGAGTTGGGCTATTCTATAGAAACATATGAAAACATTCTCCTGTGCAGGGTTATATGACAGGGTGCAATTATTTAGTTTTTAGTTTTGTTGTTGTATCAAAGTTGGTTGGTGGGAGTGACGTTCAAAATTATTTATGTTGGTTGGGTTTTTAAAAAATTTGAATTTAAAGTTTACATTTGTTCCAAATATGGGTTGGTGTTACGAAGGATTAAAATTAGGCGGGTGGGTGGTTCGAGATGATAAAGGAGTGCTGGGTGGTTGGGTGTTTGGCATATATAGATGTGGATGGGTGGTTTTAAATTTGAATATTTAATTATTGTGGGTGAGTGGTCAATCTTTTTTTAAATTGGGTGGGTACAATTGGCGTAGTTGTCAGTGGCCAGTGTTAGAATTTTCTTTAAGTCTCTAGACCCTTCTGCTATTAATAAAGGCATGCTACGAAAATAAAAAACACATTTTCAGTAAAATTGTAAATTTATTAGAAATCATTTTTATTTGTAAGGAAAAAAAGTTTTAAATTTCTATTATTAATTAGGTAAAAAGGTTTATCATACAGGTTAACAAAATTTAAATAAATACGATAGGACAAATTAATAACCTATATTATGGGGTTTTAAGTGCATAACAACTAATGTGAGGTTACGTGATTTTACTTCTTTATGCAACTGTGTGTGTTTTATTCATTTGAATGAGTTAGTTATGTTATTTATTTAATTTATGCAAATGTATGACATAAATTTAATTGCACATATTTAAAGTTGTATATACACCCAAATATTCCTTAAAAAAATCTTCCAAAAAAATGATTAAAAATATGCCAGTAGTATGATTTAAGTTTTAATGAATGTAAAAATATATAGGGTATTAGATTCGAACGTTTGTATGAATAACCTCACGAAAAAAAATTAAACGGAGTGACATGATAATCTGTTTGGTGGAAAAATATTTTGTAATTTTTTTCTTCTATATGTGCGGCCCTCTCTTGGTAGAACGTTCCACAAATCCAAAAAATAAAGGGTTAATGAAGCCCATATCTATTCTGTTTTTTTTAATTAATATTGAATTCGTGTTGGTTTTTTAAATTAGAGTAGTGATGCACTGTTAACGTAATGTTTTTTCTAAGAAACAATTAATAAAAAACTATCAGATCTGAAGGGTTTTGTGAGTTTTTTCAGGCAAAAAATATTTCTGTGTTGTTTGTTAGTTAAAGAAGGTTTGTAGAACAAGTCGTGTGGTGTCCGTGCATGTAAAAGATTGGGTAGTATTTGTTGTTTGGTGTGGTTGAGTACAAGGAGAGTTACCTGTTTCTCCGGCGGTTGAACGTGGGAGATCCATCGCCGTTGGTTATTTCTGAGGCAGCTTGAGTAGTCGTCACAGCTATGCGTTGGAGTTTGTTGGTTGTGGCTAGGGGCGGACCCAGAAAGTTTATCTTGGGAGGGCGGTAACTTAAAAAAATATTTTTCGGGAGGGCGAAAATTATTTTTTGGTATATATGTACACTAAATTTTGTTGTTGTTGAGGGGGCGACCGCCCTCCTGGGTCTGTACTACGGTCTGCCCCTGGTTGTGGCCGGATGGTTATTCCTGAGGTCTAAATGTGGTTATGTTGGGTGGTTTTCTGATCTACGGAGTTAGTTAGTGAGAGAGGGAGGCCTGAAGTTGGGGAATGTGGATGTGCCGTAGTATATAAGGCTTAGGTTATATGGGTATTGGATTGTTCAGACGATGGGGCGGCTTATCTTAGTCTTTTGGTGTGTTGCCAGCCTTTATAATTTGGGCATAATTGTCCTAGGTATAAAAAACCCGGCCCGCAATGACCCGCCCTGGCCCGAGAGATTTGGGATGGGTCCGCCCAGCCCCGTCCTGCAAATGGGGCGGGTCTGTCCCCTCGATATAGTGGGACGGGTCAAGGTATTAGTATTGACCTGTGCCACCCCCACCCTGCTCAATATATAAGTATACATATTTTTTTTAATTATATTTCTACATACTTATGTGTGTATGATAAATAAAAAATTCTTTGGTCTTATAATCTTTTAATGTTTATATTTGAAAGAGATGAACGATGAATTATTAATGTTTTCTATATATAGCATTTTAATTTATATATTGTATTATTAATATAAACTAGATTAATGGTTCAAGTCTAAGTACCCTTTTCTTCATGTTTGATTTTTTTTTTTTTTTTTTTTTTTTTTTTGCGTATTTTGACTTTCATTTAATATATTGTCTTCTTTATAATTATTTTAAGATAAACGTTATGTAGATTCAAGTGGTAACAAACTCACACAAATAGAAATAATGCACAATAGCTAATAAGGTTACTGCATGGTGGGTCCCACCCGCCCCGCATGGGGGCGGGGCATGGTCAACAATTTTGGAGCTGTGCGGGTCACGTGGTGGGGCGGGTCCACCAAGTAAGATCATGGGGTGGGTCCGAATCTTGCAGTACCTGCCCTGCCCCGACCCATTGGCCATTGCCATGTCTAGATTTTCCAAAATCTTATTACAAGCATTAACTTTTAATAATTTGTGATATTGATTTTTTTTTCGATTACTATGAGTGGGAGTAAATAGCTTTGTGTATTTCATAATAAAAAAATAATTGGCTTAAAAGATGTCGGTGTTGTTTAATGTCCGTATTAGTTAGTTCGATTTAGGTTATGAAAATGAGAAACTTAGGTTTTAAATTTAGTAAACATTATTATTGGTGATTTGGTTTAACCCCGAAATTCCTGTAATATGATTTAAGCATTTAACCAAAGTAATTTAAATCAATATAATCCAATATAAAATTTGAAAATAAAAGTCAATGTCAATCATTGTCCCGTGTGGGGTTGTTGAAGAAACATGTGTTTATGCATGGACAACTCTATGGTGCGTTTTCAAGAGTGACCAATGGGTGTGGTTTGAAAATACTTTTATGCAATGAAAGTGGCACGGCGACTAACACCACTCAAAATGTGGTTTATAAAGAAATGTTCAATAACATCTAATGTTGCATTGGATTCCGTCTAACGCATAGCTGGAGTTCTTTGCGCAACTATTTTGGTTTAGTTTGTGATTATATTTATATGTTTAATCTTTTGTAAATCGTGAATTGTGCACTTTCTTGGTGACTATATTCCAAAATGTTGTTTTTATTATCAACAAATATTTCTGGGCTTATGGTATTGAAATCATTTTTAAGGAAGCAAAAATGGGATAGAAATTCTCCGACCGTGCATCGCACGGGTGATTTACTAGTTCTTTAAAAAATACTACTATGAGGTTATTTTTGTCAGTTTATATGAAAATGCTTTCATTACTCGCATTTTTTCACTCCAGGGAGGGGTTGGGGAGCTAGAGTAATTAGGGTTGAAAATCGAGTACACTTTCCTCCCTTCCCTTTATTGCGGAGCCCTTCTCAATTATCACCGTCTCTCATTTGGGACCGAGACGGCACATGTTCTTGAGCTTTTCTTCCCCAGCTACTCACTTGATTCGGTTCATGTCTTCAAAACCTCAGCGCGTTCGTCCCCGTAAATACTCTTTCAGAAATTATTGTCGCTTCAATATCTGGGCTTTCCTCTTGCTTCGGTTTTCTGACTCATTTTGTCGAACAGTTGCAGAAACTTCCTGGCAAAGCGCACTGAAGAAGGAAAGGACTATGGCAACCTCCATCGCTACAGACACTCACATGAAGGATGCATTCGCCAAGTACACTGATTACCTCAATGGCCTCGTGAGCCCTTCTTTTCCTCACCTCCGTTTTCTCACTGTCTTTTATCAAATTTTACACTTTCGAACACAAGATTTTCAAGTTGTTTTTAGGTTGGTATGTGAGCTTTTTTTTTTTTTTAAATATATATAGCTACAAATTTGCTCTGCTGTCTGTTGTCTGCACATTTGATCATTTCTGGATGAGTTTCAGACTTCAGATTTCAGAGTGCCCTCTATTCTATTTTACAACTGATTTTGCTTCATCAACTTATCCAACTACTGAAAGGGGATATCTAGCTGGCTCCAATTAATTCTGGTTTCATGTATTTTCCTAAATTTGATCACGTTTATAGTCTTAAACAGCTATGCACAATTTCCATTTGGTTGCTCGCTAGGAGCCTAATGTATCCTGATATGCACATAAGACATGTCTCTAACTAGATGGTCATATCAATTGTAAAACGGATGTGCTTCCTGATCTAGGTTCTTGTGAACCATTGAACTGTGCTGTTTCAAAAAGGGAAACAGATGTTAGAAATTACTACCTTCTTTGACATGTTTTATAATTTCTTGTGCATTGCTTCTTTCAGAACGACAAACGGGAAAGGGTGGTAAAAGCAAGCCGTGATATAACTATGAATAGCAAAAAGGTCATATTTCAAGTTCACAGGTAATTGGAAGCTTTCACTGTCAGAATTTTGAGCTTAACCTCTATATCACATTAGCTCTAGGTTGTTTGCAGTTCAATTGCACTGTTATTCTCTTGGAATTTCCCCGTGCAGTTCCATCGTAAGAAAGATGCTGCTGGAATGGCATTCAACATAAAAGTTCATCATTTATACATTTCACAAGAATTTAGTGTTACCTAATTTTGGATGACTAATTGACACTATTACCTGTGACACTAAAAGTGGGAGTGTTGTGTGTTTGGTTGGCGAGGGGGAAGGGGAGGAAATTGAAGTTATATACTTCTCTAAATTCCTCATTTCTTGTTCAATTTCGATATTTTTTTTGCCTTTTTTAAACATAATTGGTCTACATTACTACTTTGTATAATACGGAGTATTGTTTTACCACTTGTACATGTAGATTGCTTATATTGTTAATAACACAACAAAACAATATCTAATATTGTTCGAAGTATTTTTTTAAACAACAATTCCTCACTTCTCCTTTCAATCAAACTCTCCCCTCTTTTAGAAGTTAGAACAAAGCAAAGGTTAAACCTAAAGTTCAAAGGGCTCCACTCTTTATTGCAGAATGAGTCAAAACAATAAAGATGAAGTTTTGGGAAAAGCAGAAAAAGATATTGGTGCTGTGACTGCACAATATGTGTCACGTCTTGTAAGGGAGCTACAGGGTTCTGATTTCTGGAAGCTGAGACGTGCTTATTCTCCAGGGGTTCAGCTCTGTAAACTTGTTCTCATTCTTCTAGACTTTTCTAGTGATTTTTTGCAGTGACCTTTATTAACCAAACAAAGGTTTGTCTTTCCAACATGTTGTAGGTTCAAGAATACGTTGAAGCTGTCACACTTTATCATTTCTGCAAGACTGGGACCCTTATTAACCTCGATGAGCTTAATGCTAACTTGATCCCATTGAGTGATCCTTCCACTCAGCCGCTGCAGATTAATATACTGGACTATATTTTGGGGGTAATTTCTCAACATTCTGTTTGGATGAATATAGTGTTAGAACACTGGTAATCGAATACTCCAAACAATATATAAATCAACTAAGAAAGTAGAAGAACTGATCGAGAACTTTATTGATCAACAAGAAGTCAAGAACAGATCATCAAAATATACAAGGTTCCCAGACCATTCGAGATGTCCAATCTCCAGCATCTAATCTCAACAGAAATAACAGCCTGCTACTTCTAGCCATTATTCTAGTATTTATAGTAAGTGTCCACGTAGGGGCAAGGACGGATCCAGGATTTCGAGTCAAGGGAGGCAATTTTTTTTGCTAGTGTAGGGGTGAAATATTTTTCGCTAGTGTAGGGGGCGAATTTTTTCACTGGTGTAGCGCAGCGATTTTTTTTGCTAGTGTAGGTCTCTGCGGCTGCTTTTTATTTAAAAAAATCCATTAATACATATATGAAGACATTCAAATCTATTGCATTCTAAGTTTAGATAATGGAAAATAAATTTGATTTTCTAATGAAAGTGCTCTTAAAAAACGTCTTGATACATTAAAGCGTAACAAATGGCAAATCAAAGGGAAATTATTTTTTAAAAAAAGACATATAATATTTTATCAAATTATTTGAATATAAAAAGTTTAAAAGGTATATATCCACCAATACTTTTTAAATAACTTATGTTTTGTTTACTCACGTGAATCTTATCGGAATAAATGATTAATTTTTGAATTGCGATTTTTGTCTACCAAGGAGTATGTTCATGAGTCACGAGAAGTTTTTTTTAATATTACAATACTATGTATGAGATTATTATTTTTAGAATCATATTATATTGCAGATTCATATATATGGTGCATATTATATTTGTATTATTGCTAAGTGTCAAGTAAATCGATTGTGTAATTTAATGTCAAGTGTCATCAACAAACATTTATATTTCGGATTCAATTCACATGATTTAAAAACTGCTTAAGTAGTGTGTTTGATAATTAAACATTACAAAATTAGGAATTCTTATATAATAAGTATCCTAAGTCTTGAACAATGAGTCACTCTATTGTTTATTTGTTTCAGTTATGTAAATTATTTTAAATGTTATATAAAATTTTGAAAACTAAAAGTTAAGGGGGGCGAACACATATGTATCTAATCAAAGCATAAAAAATTTATGAAAATATTACATACGAAGTATATAATAGAAAGTTTTGAAAGTCCAAGGGGTGCGGTCGCCCCCCCACACCCCCCCTAAATCCATCCCTGCGTAGTGGTAACAAGAACTAACTCACTAGTTTGTTAACTACTACTGCCTTCTCATTCTCATTCTTCCTTTATTAAAGTATTCAATAGGCTGCTGCACCACGTGTCTATCAGATAGTAGGAAAGAAAGAAATATGAAGTAGGTAAGAAGATAGAACGAGGATAAAATTAGTTTACTTTTAGGGCACTTGGATTGAAAAAGGAGAGGAATATATGAGAAATAAAAAGAATTCATTGATGTAGATTCATATCATAGTTAATAAGCTTAAATGGGTAAGTCAGCAAAAAAAAAGGTCGCCTCCTTGATAGGATTTCTCTCCAGTAATGGTAGATTTTAATTTTACGCTGGCCCCACACTTTAGTTTCTGTTTTTTCTATTTATTTTAATTTTCTCCTCAACCAGACAGCTCTTTTCATATTCTCGCTCCAAACTACGGAGTATATTCTATCAAACAAAGTGCTCAAATGTCATTGTATTTTTTTCTGGTGCAAAAAATGGTGACACTCTGAACTAGGATTCTATGTTGGCTTATCATGATTACAATATTATTATTATTATTATTATTATTATTATTATTATTATTATTATTATTATTATTATTATTATTATTATTATTATTATTATTATTATTATTATTATTATTATTATTATTATTATTATTATTATTATTATTATTATTATTATTATTATTATTATTATTATTATTATTATTATTATTATTATTATTATTATTATTATTATTATTATTATTATTATTATTATTATTATTATTATTATTATTATTATTATTATTATTATTATTATTATTATTATTATTATTATTATTATTATTATTATTATTATTATTATTATTATTATTATTATTATTATTATTATTATTATTATTATTATTATTATTATTATTATTATTATTATTATTATTATTATTATTATTATTATTATTATTATTATTATTATTATTATTATTATTATTATTATTATTATTATTATTATTATTATTATTATTATTATTATTATTATTATTATTATTATTATTATTATTATTATTATTATTATTATTATTATTATTATTATTATTATTATTATTATTATTATTATTATTATTATTATTATTATTATTATTATTATTATTATTATTATTATTATTATTATTATTATTATTATTATTATTATTATTATTATTATTATTATTATTATTATTATTATTATTATTATTATTATTATTATTATTATTATTATTATTATTATTATTATTATTATTATTATTATTATTATTATTATTATTATTATTATTATTATTATTATTATTATTATTATTATTATTATTATTATTATTATTATTATTATTATTATTATTATTATTATTATTATTATTATTATTATTATTATTATTATTATTATTATTATTATTATTATTATTATTATTATTATTATTATTATTATTATTATTATTATTATTATTATTATTATTATTATTATTATTATTATTATTATTATTATTATTATTATTATTATTATTATTATTATTATTATTATTATTATTATTATTATTATTATTATTATTATTATTATTATTATTATTATTATTATTATTATTATTATTATTATTATTATTATTATTATTATTATTATTATTATTATTATTATTATTATTATTATTATTATTATTATTATTATTATTATTATTATTATTATTATTATTATTATTATTATTATTATTATTATTATTATTATTATTATTATTATTATTATTATTATTATTATTATTATTATTATTATTATTATTATTATTATTATTATTATTATTATTATTATTATTATTATTATTATTATTATTATTATTATTATTATTATTATTATTATTATTATTATTATTATTATTATTATTATTATTATTATTATTATTATTATTATTATTATTATTATTATTATTATTATTATTATTATTATTATTATTATTATTATTATTATTATTATTATTATTATTATTATTATTATTATTATTATTATTATTATTATTATTATTATTATTATTATTATTATTATTATTATTATTATTATTATTATTATTATTATTATTATTATTATTATTATTATTATTACTTGTTGCTATTATATACTGTGCTTGTTCTTGTATTAGCTAGCAGACTTGACAGGAGAGCTCATGAGGTTAGCAATTGGGCGTGTTTCAGATGGTGAACTTGAGTTTGCTCATAAGATTTGCAGCTTTGTGCGCGAAATCCATCGGGAGCTTACACTTGTTGCCCCACTTATGGAAGACCATTCCGACATGAAAATTAAAATGGATACAATGCTCCAAAGTGTTATGAAGATTGAAAATGGTATATGCTTCTCATTCTTTTACTAATGATGTATTTAAAGTAAGGTTTAAAAAGGCTGGTTCGGGTATCGAGGCAGTTTCTTCGAGAGGGGGCTAGGCTTAAGCCTCAAAATTTACCAACAAGTAAAACTTAAAATAGTTAAACTAGTAATAACCACTTATAGATATGCATAACAAAATTCAAAAAGTCTCAAACACAAACACATATATGATCACATCATCAAACACCATTACTCAAAATGAGATTTCAAACATAAAACAGTTAAACAGACACATCACATACATGACAATTTGAAACTCTCGATGCTTAACCATCATGACTGGAGGGTCTTCGAAAGAATCATTACTCCCTCCGGTTCTTAAATAAGTTCCCGGTTTGACTTCACACGAATTAAGAAAAAAAATTTGACTTTACTGTGGAGTGCACTGTTTTGCACTGTTTGAACACTGTTTGACACTGTTTGGCACTATCTTGCACCGTTTTAGCATTGTTTTGCACTGTTTTGGTGTAGATTTATTTGCCAAAAAAGGAAGTAGGAACTTGCTTGGGACATCTGAAAAAGGAAAGTAGGAACTTAATTACGGGACGGAGGGAGTATATATTTATACGGAGTATCTTATAGCCTTCTCACCGTCATCCCATCGATTATCACTATCAAAATCCTTAAGTTCTTTCTCTTCATCATCATTTACCTCCATTACTTGTTTATTTTTCTTATATTTTCCTTGGTTACCATCTGCTTCTTTGTGTAGAAGTATGACTAAGTTTAAAAAACACGTAAAATGCTTAATAGGGAGTATATGTCAAGGTTTAAATGAAACAAGACTTGTTTGGGTTTAGTGTGGACACGTGTTTAATGTATGAACATTTTATTATATAAAAACACTGCCTTCTTAAGCTACAAGCACATTAAAAATATAGAAGCACGGAAAAATGCTTCTGTAAAACGCCTCAAGGCACGCCTCAGGCCGTACACCTTGAATTTTGAGGCGTAAGCCTCTTGTCCTGCAAAAAAAGCCCAAGCCTCAAAACCTTTTCTATACGCCTCACCTTGAGGCACGCCTCAAAACCCGCCTCTTAAGCGCCTTTTTAAACCATGATTCAAAGTTTATGATTTCTCATTGTTCTTAAGCTTCTTCGGCTAATTTAGCTTTTCGAGTTTTTCTTTTATCTTTCTTGAGAGTCAAGGCCAATAGATATAGAGCCTGTATGGTAAGGCCCAGAATGGTGAATGTGAAAGTCTAGATATTGGCTAAAATGTTCAATTTTGCTTAAAATTTCATATAATGTGAGTGAAAGTGAAACAAATATCTTAAAATACAGTGAGAATGTTAGTGTCTTCAATTTGAATGGTTTCAGCTAAAAAATAACCCGTGAACATTTTATTTTCATTATCAACCCATTAAACTATCAAAATCCATGTATAAATGCTTGGTGGAATTATGGATAATAAACCAAAAATTAAAGAATTCCAAACCGGTTCATATATGTATGGAGAATAAATATCAAGCTGGCATTTTGTTGACCTGATATGCGGATTTCTTACCAAAAAGCATTCTCTGCAGCTTGTTATGGCGTCCATGTGAGAGGATCTGAGTTTGTACCCCTTGAATCGGACGGCTCAAGTTACCCATTACCACTTGGCGTGTCTGACATTAACTGATGAAACTAACTCCAAATTCCCAATAGATGAATCTCGATTGTCTTTTTCTCACTGTTTTGTTTCCATTTTCATTTCATTAATGACTATTGGACTAGAAGTTATCCCAATCTGTTGGCCTACTGGTAATGAAACCTATTACGTGTTTGTATTTGGGCCTGTTTTAAATGTAAAGTTGATTTGTAGCCCAGTGTTGCCCACTCATTAATTTAGTCTCTAACTGGAATTACAAATGTACAGAGTATTATTTTTCATACTCGTATCTTTTATCTTTTTTTTAGATGAACTCCTCTATTTTTAAGATTTTATTGTGCAAACACTTGAATATATGTTGATAGATATTTGATTTGTAAATGATGCAAAATGTGGTCAGTACCAGACTACCAGTTATTACGTAGTATTTTGACCGCCTGCATTAGAATATCGATTTGGTGTACACTACAGTCATACGCTATCCAAGAAAAATTACATAAGGTAATGTAAAATGGTGATAAAATGTGGAGGGCTGGCCCTAGGGGTGGACCGGTTCCGGTTCGGGCCCGGTTCGGGCCTGGGCCTGGCCGGGCCTCGGTTCAGAAAAAGGAGGCCCGAGCCCGAACCGGTGGTGGGCGGTTCCGGTTCCGGTTCCGGGCCAGAACCGGGCCGGGCCGGGCCACCCGGAATGTTTTTTTTTTCTTCTTCTTCTCTTATTTAACCCCCTACCCCACCCCCTCCACCCCAAACCACCCCAAATCACCTCAAATGGCCCAAAATACCTAATCCAACCCAAAACTTAAAAAAATTTCAAAAAAAAAAAAAAAAAAAAAATCCGGCCCGAACCGGGCCCGGCCCTGGCCCCAAGGTGGTCATTGGAGGCCAAAGTAATAGGTCAATGAAAATGAAAATTTTGAGGCCCAATTATTTTTTATGTCTAGTGTGGGTGGGTAGTAGGTACTAGTTTTTTCACTTTCGCCCAACGATTATTATATAAACATTTGAGCCAGGCGTGGACTTGGGCTGGGCCGGGTTTGGGTCGGGCCTAGGCCCGGGCGGGCCAGCTGTTCATAAATGGTGGACCCGGGAGTGGCCCGGGTAGCCACCGGGTCGGGTCCGGGCCAGGCCTCCGGTTTGTTTTTTTTTTTTTTAATTTTATTTTTATTTTTTTTTTGCTTTCCTAACGACCTAACCCCCCTCACCCCCCCACCCCCAAACCCCCGAAACCCCTCCTAACCATCAACCCCCAAAAAATGAAAAAAAAAAAAAATCAATTTGGCCTGGACCCGGGCCTGACTTGGCCGGGCCGGTTCGCCAATTGTAAGACCCGAGCCCGGACCCGCCCCCTGGGCCTAGGCCCGACTCGGACCCGGACCCGTGAACCGGGCCGGTCCCGGTCCCGCACAGTAGCGGGTCGGGCCGGTCCACGAGCCGGGTGGCCCGACCCGAGTCCACCACTAATTTGAGCCTAAAGGGAGCAAATGTGTATTGCAAATTAAAAATTCCTTGTGTACACATTTGTCCGCGCTCTATTTTGAACTTTGCTAGTATATACAGAGTATATAAAATTTGTCTAACAATATAAAATTATTTGTGCGCACAAACAATTGAGTGTGTACATCCAAAGCGTGTATACCAAGAGCGGTGCATTGCAAATACTATGCAATGGCAGAGTTTAAGGACAAATCAGTCACGAGTTGTTTTTAAAAAATGAGCATAATGGAGTATCTCTCATTATTTACTACGCATGTTTTTACTTGGACTATTTTCAGTCCCAGATCAAATCAGATCAAAAAATTTCAATCTAAGCAAAAACATTCTACATTTGTACTTGTATAGTGGTTAATCCGGTTTTTAAATAAGACTAGAATTGAGTTAATAAATCACCTGAAATCATACCAATTAGCTGGTTTTCTATCATGATCAGTGACATGCACCTATAAAAATATGATCATACCATTATAGTTGGATCTAGAACCTCTGCCATACTACGTATTTAAAGGATAAATTGGTTAATGTGTGTGTGTATGGTGCGATTCCGGTGAGAACATTCCTTAACGTGAGAAATGAGAATGTTCCAAAACTATGCACTTTGTAATTCACAGAAATGCATATTTATAGTTAAAGTAATGCAAAGTTCAAATGGCAAAATGCACATTTTCCAATTCTTTATTTTTTATATTCACATTTCGATTTTACATGTTGCACAATGCCAAAACCCAACGTTCCAGAATCATTCTCACAAGTCAAAATAGCACACGCCTTCATTAAAAATACATCTAGACCAATTTATTCGAGCAAATTTATCTTTAGAAAAGCTTGACTTTAATGCTCTCGAGGCAAGACCAGTCCTGACTCGTTCACCCAAGCAAAGTTTAGTTCAAATGAACATATCTTAAGAGCAAATAGGTAATTCACTTATTAATGAGTATAGGCAATGCGGAGTACTTTTTAAGGATATTTCTTGCTTGAAATTCTTTCCTCTTTTTCTCCACATAAAAAGAATGTCTTAGGTAGGAGGGAGGCTAGATCGCACCATATCTTCCTTGGATTGGGGAAATTGGCGTATTGTTTTTACTTCACACAGACAGCCTTTTCTTCTTTGCGTAGTGGGCCATCATTTGACTAAACAAATCACTCGAGCATATTGTTCCCATCCCCAGTTCAAACCCCCCTACTGCGAGAAGTTTTTATATTTTTTTTTGATAAACATGTAAATATTATATAACCAAGAAGCTATTACACATATTTAGGGGGCATACCCCCGTTTACATTTACCCAAAGCAATCAAGTATCTCAATCAACAATTCTCAAATAACATCAAATTCATGAACAACAAAGCCTCAAAAAGTAATAAAATCTGGTGGATAAAGGCTATACAAAACCTTATAAGTCAATAACTTGATCTGAAGAAAAATTTCATTAGAAGGAGTAGCCTTTTTCTCAAACACTAGCTTGTTCCTTGCCTTCCAAATAGTATGAACTGTGCAGCACATGGCAATCCGCACTGCCTTGCTCTTGATTCTAGCACCGGCATAAAACTTCTTGAAGCATTTGACAGCAGCAGCAAGTGTAGTAATATGTTGCTTAACACCAAGCCACAAACATATTTCATTCCAAATTTTCCCTGTATTAGGGCATTGAAAGAAAAGGTGAGCTACTGTTTCAATATGGGTGTAGCAAAAGGTGCATGCTCTATCCATATCAATGTAACTCAGGTTTTTCCTTGTAGGGAGTCTATTCCTGAAACAAAGCCACACAGCAAAAGAGAATTTTGGGGGAATGTAGCCTTTCCAGATAAACGGCATCCAAGGTTTACTAGTGTTCTTGACTCTTAATATCTCATACACTTTAGAAGATGGAAGGGATCCATTAATACACATGCTGTTAAGCCCCAGAATAGTATCAAAGGGGCTGCCAAACAGAGAGACCAAACAGTTCCTGATATTTGCAAATTTCTTCATTAGAGGAGAATCCCTAGGATTAGGAATCCATTCCCAAATAGACACCTCCTTAAGATAGATCTCATGCATCCATTTAACCCATAATGTGTCTTTTTTAGCATGGATATTCCATAACGACCTGGCAAGAAGAGCTGAGTTCCACACCTTAATGTCCTTCAGCCCCAGTCCACCTTCTTTTTTAGGTTTACAAATATCATCCCAAGCCACTTTTGCATTCTTCCCCCCCCATAAAAATTGTCTGCAGTTTGATGTAATTTTATCATTAATGGCAACTGGGATAGGGTAGCATTGCAACCAGTAAGATTGCGCACCTTGTATCACAGCTCTTATTAGCTCAATTCTTCCTGCATAAGACAAGTTTTTGGTCTTCCACTTTGATATAAATTTCTCGATTTTTTCAATGAGAGGCGAATATTGTGCAATGGATACCACAAGTGGTGCTAGAGGGACGCCTAAATACCGAATAGGGAACACCCCCTCTTCAAATCCAGCAAGGGCCAATATATCACTTTTAACTTGAGGCGAAACTCCTGCAAGAAAAACATTAGTCTTTTCAAAGCTAACTTTCAAGCCAGAAGTTTCCTTGAATTCATCAAGACATTTCATAAGTGTGTTGACTGAGAGATAATCTCCACCGCAAAACAGCATTAGATCATCGGCAAAAGCAAGATGCGATATTCTCAATTTTCCACACCTCGGGTGGAACCTGAAACTTGGTTGGGCTGATTTAATACAAAGCAGCCTGGAGAAGTATTCAATGCACAAGAGGAATAATGCAGGGGACATGGGATCACCCTGTCTCAAACCCCTCTCCCCTTTAAAAAAATCATGTAGAACCCCATTAATGGATATAGAGAAACTGGCAGTAGTAACACATTCTAACACCCAACCTACAAACAAACTTGGAAAGCCGAAAGAAATCATGACCTCTCTTAAGAAAGACCAATTCACTGTATCATATGCTTTTCTGATGTCTACCTTTATCAAACACCGAGGAGATATATTCTTTCTAGCATACCCCCTAACCAACTCCTGTGCCAAAAATATGTTGTCATAAATAACTCTACCTTCTACAAAAGCCGATTGAGCTGGATTTATAAGTTTAGGCAGAAGGGGGTTCAACCGAGCAGCAAGAATTTTTGTAATGGTCTTGTAAATGACATTGGTACATGATATGGGTCTAAAGTCAGCAACAGTAGGGGCATGGTCAACCTTTGGGATTAAAGCAATGATGGTATGGTTGATTTGTTTCAGCAGTTGTCCAGAAACAAAAAATTCTCTTACAGCAGCAATGAAATCAGCACCAACAATATTCCAGTTTTTGATGAAAAAACCGGATGAGAAGCCATCAGGTCCCGGGGCCTTATCCTCTCCAATGTCAAAGAGAGCATCTCTAATCTCCTTATCATCCACAGGACTGGTTAAAATATCAGCTTCTTGCGCACTAATAGAGCTGCCACTCTGAATAACGCTACTATTTATGGGTTTACACGAAACGCCAGTGCCAAATAACCCCTTATAAAACTTAACAAACTGATGGGATACTTCCTTGGAAGAGGTTGTAGGGTTGCCATTCTCTTTAATGATAAAGGAAATGGTATTTTTTGCCTTGTTTTTCTTTGAAAAGAGAATGGAAGTATCGGGTACCTTTATCAGCCTGAACTAAGTGGGTCGCTTTAGCCTTCTGTTTATAGAAACTCCTCTCAGCCTCAGTGAAGAAAGCAGCTGCATCTCTAGCCTTATTAACATTGTCCAGTAAAAGCCTATTGTTAGGATCCAAGGCTAGAAGGTCATGAGCAGCTTTAAACTCATCTTTTGCTTTTCTAGCCTTAGTAGAGATGTGTGCAAAGTCCTTGTTATTCAGCATCTTTAAGGGAGCTTTGAGCAGTTTGAGTTTAGTACACAAGTTAAATTGATATGATCCATATGGAATCTGGTTCCAAACCCCAAAGAGGATATCTTTAAAATTTGGGTGCTTCAGCCACATATTATAGAACTTGAATGGCCTAGAACCAATCTTCTCCTCATTTACCAAAGATATAATAATAGGACAGTGGTCAGACTCATCATCGAAGCTCAAGAAATCAGCCCTACAGGTCAATCCCTCCTCACCCCATTTTGGGTTAACTAAAACTCTATCCAGTTTAGCCCAAGAGTGGTTCCTCCTCCATGTGAACAAAGAACCAGTAGAGGGTGCATCTTCTAGATTTAAAGCAGCCCTACACTCCAACAGATCCTTCATGTTGTAGTCCAGAGGGGCACTACTACCCATTCTCTCCCTGCTGTAGCAAACACAATTAAAATCTCCAACTACAATCCAAGGGATACTAATGCATTGATGTAAAGTAGTGAGTTGATCCCAGAGTTGCCTTCTCTCCCGAACACTGTATAAAGCATACACTGGTGTGATGAAAAAAGACACCTGGGATATGAGGCATTTCACCCTAGCATGAATATACTGAGGGCCTGTACCAAGAATCTCGCAGGAAAACCGAGAGGGGTCCCAGACCAAACTAATCCTCCCTCCTTCTATCTTATCAAAATTATTTGCTTGCTTCCATCCGGGAAGTTTATTTTCCAGAAACATCTCCAATTTAATTACATTAGCAAACTTTAACTCCAAAAGACAACTCATAGAAATTTTGTGTTGTTGGAAGTACCTAACAACACAATCCTGTTTCGAGGCTCTATTGAGGCCCCGAACATTCCAAGAGAAGACTTTCATTTTAAATGGGTAGTTGAGGATAGGCTCCCTCCTTCTCCCTCACACTTTCCAACCTTAGTACTGTTTTGTTTTTGTTTAGTAGTTGCATTTTGAACCCCTTCTTTCACAGGATGTTGACTCGCCGGTTTGAGAGTCGTTATTTCAGAGTTTGCATTGCTCACTCCTTTTGTAACTCTATCTGTGTCTTTTTTATGTTGTCCAATGGGGTCAGCTTGGTTCTGCCCACCAGTACTTCCTCCTGTAGGTACATGTTTCCCAAATACAGCAACCTGCTTCTGTACTGGAGCCCTTATACCAGCACTTTGGTAACTGTTGGCTGCCCGAGCTTGTCTACAATTAGCACTTAGAGGAGTTCCACCCCCCCTACCTTCCGCCACACTACAGCTGCCACCTAGCTGTACCTTCTCTGTCGTTCCACTTATTGAATCAATCACTGCATCCTTATCATGTACATCAGTAATTGTGGCCTGGATCTTCTTATTTGGGTGCACCTTGTCACAATTGCAGGCACCTTTCACCAGGTTAGGGGCTTTAGTAGTTTGGTCCTCTGGTTCTTTAAGTGGAGCCTTATTATTTCCATTATGTTCTCTTTCTAATTCATGCAACACCTTACAGGTAAACGGGTGATGGCCAAACTTCTTGCAATGGAAGCAATAGTTTGGAAATGTCTCATAAATAACAAATTGTTTAAACCTACTCCCAGAGCGTAGTCTAAGATCAATAGACAGGGGAGGGGGTTTAGATATATCAACCTCTATCAAAGCTCTTGCGAAATGCACCCTTGTTTTCTCATTTGTCACCCCGTCAGTAAAAATTGGATTACCAACTCTTGAAGCTATCTTGCTGATGGATTTTTCATTATAGCAGTCCAAAGGGAGCCTTGGAAATTTTATCCATATAGGGACCTTAAGGAATTCCTCATCGTCGAATCTGAAACCTTCAGCCAGATTTTTTAGCATTAAGGACCTGCCCATCACCGCATATGGCCCCTCCATTAGAACCTTTGCTCTATCTTCTTCATTTTTAAATTGGAAAACGAACCACCCCTTATCATGTGGAAGGAGTTTGCATTGAACATGCCATGACTCCATGAGTAGATTCATTGCATGCATGCCAGGAAATCTACCAGTGAGAAAGCCTACAAGGCAATAACCCCATACTTCGTGGAGGTTAACAAGTTCGTCATCGCACAAATCTACAAAATCACCTTCAGGTTCAATAAACCTCAGCTTCATGCCTTTAGATGGTGCCCTATTATCCTTGAATAGCCCTGCCCACGACGGTTTTGGGTTGGTTGCTGCAGCTGGTTTAGTATTTAAATCAAACAGTTGGCGTGCAGCAGGAGACGTTGTTGTTTCCTCAGCCTTAGATATGTTCCCTTCTTCTGCACATCCTGCCGCTATATCCTGGGGTTCACCAATCACCTCAATATCATCTTCAACAATGATTTCCTCAGCCTCAAGCATAGATACTTCCTTTCCAGTATTTCGAGAGTTATCAACAACCTGTAGACTTCTTGTAACATTAGCCCTTGGTTGATTACTACGTTTCACTGGGGTATGCGTCCTACCCTTCCCCATTGGAGAGGGGAGGAATCCGAAAGGTCTGAACGCCAGAGATCAATTCAGTTAAAACTCAGCCCTAAGGGCGAATCCAGACTGTTAGACTAGAAATTGCAATAAAATAGCAGCAGAGAATTCAGTTTATTTGGGTAGCAGGAAACAATCTCACCGCCGCTGGCATCTAGGATTTGTGATAGGCCCTAGAGAGAGTTACTCTCAAACCAGCGTTCCACTGTCATCCTTCTTCTTTCTACGCACACGAATGAAGAGTGAGTTGAGGGATGTTTGTGCGAGAAGTTTTTATAGGCTATAGCAAATAACTCGACGCACAGTGCTATTCCTTATGCTATGATCAACTTTTGTATTAGACTTAAACAGATTAGATCAGATTACCGTTCAGGTAAAAACATTCGTTTTTACCTTAGTATTCAAACTTTCAATACGTTGAAAGTATGAAACGATTCAAACTTTTGTATTCCCGTACATCAGTAAATGAGGAGGCCCTAGTGATTGTTTACTGGTTTACTCCAGAAATTTCAATAT